TTTGTTCGAACCACAACGCCACTTCACCCACGTACTATAAATACATATAATCGCCAACAGAACCTAAACACCTAACCTAAGCTATGCCTATATATGCACAATATGCTGATATATTATAATAATAATTTATATTTGAGAAAATTCCCGTTTTGAATGACAGCATGTTAAAATTTATGAATGCGTCTGTGGGGTCGACCGCTGGATGGAATGAACTTGAGTCGAGGACGGGTTAAAGTGGCTGCCTGTCTCACGAAACAATGAATTATTATTATTAATTATTATTATTATTTGGGAGGGATTTACGATAGGTCTGATAACTTGTTCTCACTAACACTGAACTATTAGTTTAACACATGTTATGCAATCTTTAGAATGGTTTCGCATCTTGTCGCAGGGTTAGCAAAGCTGATTATTTTATTATTGGTCATGTTGAAGTCAAGATGATATTTAATGGAATTCTTATTAGCATTTCAAGTTCAAGTTCAAGTATGTTTATTGAGACAAGAAAAAAATACATCTCAAAGGGATAGAGTAGCTTAGGCTATTTCTACCCCCATTTATTAGCATGTAAATCCGCTACAAGATAATTATGGCATTAGGCTTGCCTATACAAATTTCCTTAACATTCTTAAATATTGTATCTTAAGAGTGAGTCAAGGTTGACTTATTATTTAATTCGTATAGTGCATGTTCCATTAAGGTAGCTAATTAGTGTAAGCAAATGATGTAATTACATATACCTTAAGAAGCTGCTAATCTTTTTATTTACGTATTATGACTTTTGCATGTGGCGTGTGAGTTCGTGCATATTACTTATTTTGGAGCAACCATCAGTCCATTGCCTCTGTGTAGATAATAGTTATATTATATATCATATATGCCAGAGTCTGAGGCAACTGTTGACGATTCGAAATTTTCCAGTTTGCTGGTTTCGTCAAAGCTAATGCAGTGTTGCCAGATTGTTGACCCTCCCACCATTGTGTCTTATCTTTAGAACAACCAGGATGGAATTATATGTACAATATGTAACTAGAGATTGTAAATAATATTGTAAAGAATAGTTTGTATCTTCTGCACTTACCAATATATCCAGTGTTCATTTGTATAACTCTTATTAGAGAAAGACGTAGATTTGGCTCCGTGTTGTCTTCAAAGTACGAGCTCCACAGGCTCTTGAAACTCAGTTGACTGTGTGATGTCCTAGTGTGTGGTTGGCTGGCTGTCAGGGCTGCTGTTAGTTGGGTAAGTACCCTTTATAATCACTGCTCGGGTTAAGTTTAATTTATCGGACATGTTGCTAATGATTACGCGTTGATACAGTGCTGTGATTTTGTTGTGGAGGGATTTTCTCTTATAATAGATTTCTGAGTGCCAGGACTCGACCGTCATAGTTTAAAGGAACTGGTCGGCTTAGTTGTATATTATTGGGATATAAATTCTGTATATTCTGAGCCGAATATATGTATGTGTACGAATGTATATTCATACACTTATTATATATGAATATACGAATGTATATTCTGAGCCGAATATACATTCGGCTCAGAATGTATATTTATTGGGTGGGTTTTAATGTCAGTGCTATATTACGCCTTAAGGTGTCTTAAGGAGTAATATAGCATTGTCTAGAACAGTCATTTAGGAGCACAATGAATTAACTACTGCTAAATTCATCTTGCAGCACCTTTGGTATTATCAGGCCTACTCGGGAATATTGAGTGACTGGCACTTTGTAAGGTAAGTGTTGTAACTTATTAATATATTATGCTAATGCCCAATCACTTGGGCTGGACGGTAGAGTGGCGGTCTCGCTTCATGCAGGTCGATGTTCAATCCCCCGACCGTCCAAGTGGTTGGGCACCATTCTTCCCTCCGTCCTATCCCAAATCCTTATCCTGACCCCTTCTAAGTGTTATATAGTCGTAATGACATTGCACTTTCCCCTGATAATTCCCTCCCTTCTAGTTCAATATACTGGACGTCAAATTTTAGTAGGTATTTCCGGCATCCAAATTTCTCGTGTACACAGATTGTATTATAGTGGGAGCTTGGCCATTTATTGGATTGCGGGAACACTTGTCGACAAGGAGCCATATTATCAGTAAGACATTACACTCCAACACTTCAAGAACCTGTCTTTGCGATTGCCGTCTTGTTTCGTACCTTTCCTGGCTTCAAGAGTCATTTTCCCGCCTATAAAGGCATCGTAGAAGGCCAGAGAACGTTTTACTTGTTACACGAAGGCAGAAAGTTGTAATACTTTGGAGAAATTAAAGTTTTAAGTTTTGAAAAGGTGGAAGAGGGTAGCCTAGCTATGATTTGTCCAAGATGGCGGCTGAAGTGTCGTCACTCTGAGAGACGTTTTGGCGCCGAGAAGGCTTGACTTCTCCACAGTTCACGCGGGGAGAAGTCAAGCCTTGACTGTCCTTAGCTTCATCGCTAAGGACAGTCCAGATCAGGAGGGATTGGTTTTGCAGTCTGAGGTAAGAACAGTGCAGTGAAACAGTCACGGTGTGAGTGACCTGTAATATTCTTATCCAGTAAAGCCAGTGCAGTAAGCATTGAAGTGAAAAGTTTGCAGTGACGTTTTGCGGTTGCAAGTTTGGGCAGTGCAGTGGCCCTGTGAGAGCAAAGACAGCTGCAGTAGCGGTGTGAGTAGTAACTTGATGTCAGTGATGTGCGGGACGGTAGCCTAGTGGAAGAGCTACACACTGCACTGACACAGGACTGCAGTTAGGACCTGGAGTTCTTATTAACTCACAGGTTTACCTGATGTCATCGGCAGGTAAATTGGATTTATAACTGGAGTTTAACTCGTGTGGTGAGAAAATGCCAGAGCCACTGTTAACTCCTCTCCCCACCTCCTGATTCCCTTAATGCACGGCTGCCAGAAAAAAGTATCTCTGCAGCTTTTCTTGAACATGAACATGAACAAAGGGACGAAGAGCGAAGCCTTCTGTGCCGACAGTTGCTGGAAGTGTTCATCGCGACACCAATTCCTCCTGAGAATAAGGAAGTTTCCAGCCCATCAGTGAGGACATTTGGGAGCCAGAAGGACTCGAAGCTATTCAGCTGATCGGCATCAGCCCCATTTTTGTAGCTAAGTAACTCTCTCTCTCCCTTCTTCTTGAGTTAGTATTCGTTCAGGAGAATGATTGTAGGATTTCATGCATTTCGATTTAAATTGTGTTTACATTTCCATGATTTATTTTCTTGTGATGCATTTCATAACATTAATATTTGATGGAATTTGAATTTGACTGCTAAAGCCAAATTCCTGTAGATTTTAGACGTGTATTTACCAGTTCTTTAAGTTCAATGTATTAACTTTAAAGAAGACATCCTTAATGGCTTTTGTGTTGAATGGCTGCTCGATTCATTACTTTTGTGTCACTGCCGAGTGCTTGCAGCGTGAGCAATTTTGAGTTTAAAAGAGCCACAAGCAGCCTAGCAGTATAGTACTGGAGTAGACAAAGAGCCTACTTCATTGAGTATTTTTAATTAAAATGAGTTTAACATATAAAATGTATTGTCTTTATTGTTTTCTTTATTGTTGCCATCGGAGGCGGCTAATTTATTGTGCACTTCATACTCATCATGTGAGCGGTAGTGAAAAGGATTTACAAGGGGCATTAAAGGTTTTAATCAAACCTCGGCGGAAATTTCATATCGATAATTATAATTGTGCACACCTTATAATTACATTAACATGTAGTAACTACACTGCAACTTCTATGTATTAACAATATATTATTATACATTGGAAATAGGGTTCTGTTGTTTGTGTATACATTAGACGTAGGACTCTTTGTGGTTTGTAGAGTTGTTTATGGTTTTCAGTAGCAGTCCATTCATTCACATAAATGTTATTTATCTATTAGGAAACGAAATATGGATACAGTGAAAGTATTTCAGAATTTAATTTTGGTTTTATTTCTAAATGGCAAAATTTGTACACTGTAAAATGTAATGTTCTAGTGTGTGACTGTCTTTGTTCACACACTTTACACTTCACTTTATCTAGATCCATATGCATGTGCTTATAGACTGTTCCAGCTGACAGCTAACTCACTATAAATTAATTGTGGCAATTTGTAAGGTCCTCAGAGCTGTGAGTTTGACAGTGACTTAGTGTACTGAAGTTGTAATTACTGTGAGTTATGTTGCAAACAGACTTTTTTTTATCATCACATTTAGGTACATTGCATTTGTGCAGCCACGCTAGACTATATGAAGGGGATTACTGTACAGTGTGTAAAAAAAACTAGCTACGTTATGCTAAAAATCCCGATCACATGGGATGGTTAGTCATACAGAGGCATGTGATAAATAGTCTGCACTGACAAACTCTGGTTACATTATGAGGATATCATAAACACAAGAGAGAATACTGTAGCAGTGATATTAAAAGTTCCCATCTCGCAGGAAGCTTAGAACACACTTTTTTTATTAATGCATTTAGGTACATCTGTATTTGTGCAGCTACCTTAGACTATATGAAGGAGAGTACAGTGTGTCAAAAAGCTAGCTACGTGCTGCTAAAAATCCCCATCACACAGGATGGTTAGTCATACAGACATGTGATAAGTAGTCTGCACTGGCAAACTCTGGGTGCATTATGAGGATATCATCAGCAACACAAGAGTGAATAAAAGTCCCCATCTCGCAGGATGGTTAGCCATACAGGGCCATATGTTCAGTAGCTTGCACTAGCAAGCTACTGAACAATACGACCCTGTGCGCGACAAACCGAACGCACTCTACGGGATAAACCACCCCATTTAACAAATCGAACGCAGTTGTTGTTCCTAGTTTGGAGATCAATAAACACAAAAATACAAAAAAATATTAAGTTTAATGTTGGCATAAGTACGTTAAGGAACCCTATGTACGTGGAGTTGGCTGGGCACAGAAACATTATTAGTACCACATTCAAAATAAAAGAAAAAGTGCAGAGGAAATTTTAATTATATATTTTTTTAGACATACAAATATCACTATTTGTTTTAACTTTTTTTTATTGTATACAACAATAAAAAGAATCCGATAGAAACTAACGTTAACGAAACTAATGCAATTTTGAACCCTATGGTCCTGAAGATATTATATAACACCTGTGTCAATAAAAATGCAGCCTTACAATACAGTTAACTTGGTATTTTTGACAACTAAAGCTACAAATGGTACAGAATAATCCGCTGCATTATTCACTTAAATTTTTAATCTGCAGGTCAACGCCTTCACACAAAATTTCTTTCCAAAATTGCGAACACACTGCATTTATGAAAAGCCTTAAGACATAATCAGCAGAGGATTTTTGTAGAGTAGATTTTGTAGAGTTTATGGCTTGTGAATGAGGCACGCCAGTGTTGTAGACTTAACCTAACGTTACCCTGAACAGGGCTGGGAAGGTTTACACACGTGTTGTTCCAGACATCTGTCGTAGCAACACTTGTCAGAGGTGTTGCTGCAGGAGGAGTCGTGGACGCAGGTTACTGGAGCCTGCGGGTAATACGTCCTTGGACAGTCTGGGCGCACCGGAGGACAGCACCCAACGCGAGCTGCAGACAAGGAATGTTGTACTTTTAATTTGGAAAATTGAAAACTATATATATAGAGAGAATAGGTGAACGAACACCTAAAATAAGAACTTCAAAAAGAGAGACCAGAAGAAGAATTTAAATGATTTGGAAAATAGTGTTGGAATATATACTGATTACATAGAATTTTCTAGCGTGGAAAACTTAAAAGTTGATCTCAAAATAATCTGTCACGGACCAAAACTCTTCAGACTTGTTCTGAATACAAAGCACCACCCACCTGGTCTAAACGTGGAAGTACGCACTGTGGAAGAGTCGCAACAGTAGAATGTATTCTCTGGAGTCCTACACCAGTACCTACAGCTGTCGGAGGCTCCCAAAACACCGTAGCTGGGCCTTTCTCCAGAGTGTGGCCTGACACCGTAGATGGGTCGCTCTCTAGAGTTTGGCTTAATGCCGTTGATGGGTCTGCCGCCTATGTGGGAAGCCACTTGGAGACCTTGAGCAGAGTTGAAGACTGACTGGAGATAACTGCGGGGCCTGTGGAAATTTATATATATATATATATATATATATATATATATATATATATATATATATATATATATATATATATATAGAGAGAGAGAAGGAGAGTAAACAGTGTATTCAGACGCTGCAGATTCTCTCTGAACACTTCTTGGGTATATTGTTCTATCGCCCCTACTTTTTATTATTTTATACATTTATAATTTATTTAATTACATTGTGTTACGGCTTACAGAAAACACACAAATATAGCAATCATATATATAAATAATGATAATAATAATATAAATTTGCCTGCGAAGTTGACAATAACGTTATTTAAATAAAAAATTTAAATTAAAAAATATTCATAAATTGTTTTACATATATTATTGCGTTTTTGAGACTTATATTGACAAAACATCTATATCAATATAATTGAATGTCTTTGTCCGAGGTTGGAGGCCATAAGATTGGTGCTAGCCTCGCTCAGCTTCCCAAGATATATCATGTTTGTAACAGCCCACAATCTGTGTCGGCCCAAGTGAAATGGTTTAAGAAATTACGGTATTTATAGAGACCCCTATGCGATTTTCATGAAGTAAAATCTGAAATATTTGGTGTGTTTCCCATAGAGTTGATCGGGAATTACAGTGCTTCGTAATAATATATTTTCTGATGGGGGTGGGTGGGAGCGAGAGAAAGAAGGGGGGGGCCAGGGCGGGCAGAAGGTTGGTTGGGGAAAAAGAGACCCGGGAACAGCCGGACACCATTAAAATATATAGTATAAATAGATGCTTGGGATGACTTACTGCTCACTAGGTAAGTTGTCGCCGTCAGCGTCCTGCTGGGCTAGGCTGCCCACTATCATCACTAGCCCCGCCGTCAGACATGTTAACATCTTCATCTCTCAGCCTCCTCTAGAAAAATCTATACTATAATCACAGAAAATCTATACTAAAAGAGATTTTTAAAGGTTTAAAACTGTTTAGTATTACTTTGTTAAATATATATACACATTTTTATTTTGTGATGAATTACAGCTGTGTATGAAATGTAAAAGTGGATATCTATGTTCAGAATATAATAGTGGGCACCTGTGTTTTGAATGTAAGGATGGACACCTGTGTTCGGAATGTAATAGTGGGCACCTGTGTTTTGAATGTAAGGATTGACATTTTTGTTTGAAATGTATGGATGAAAATTGTGTTTTGAATGTAAGAATGAGCATCTGTGTCTTTCATGTGACATAGTCCTGGTTTAGCAACACCTGTTATCCAGCCAACTGTTGCCAGTGATCGTGCTGATAATGCTTCCCAAAAAAGTCACAAAAAGAGTTAAAAAAAACATATGTCGATTCTTCACCTATATTTCACGACGCTTCATTTAATTACTGATACATTAGAGATAGTTTTAAAGCATGTATTTTTGGGTGACTTGAACCGAAGTTCTAGTGATTCTCAGACACTTACCTTAATCCACTCAGCCACGCTGAGACAAAAGCCAACCAACCCGGAACTCTATTGAATTCACTGGCAGGTTCTAGAGACCCAAACCACTGCCCAAACAGGATTTTAAAATTGTCCCCGTCTACACTCTGACTGGAGGTATTGGTGTTCGCAGCTTTACGACCTCTTGTGTCTGGGAATCACGACTATAACGTCGGTTCAAGTTGTCCCATTGGCCAAAAATGATTGCCCCATTATATATATATATATATATATATATATATATATATATATATATATATATATATATATATATATATATACAGTATATATATATAATGGTGTGTTGCTAAATTTCTTGTATAGTATAGTATTATAGTATCAAACCTCTAAACAACCTAACCGAATTATTTTAAGTTATGCCTGAAACTCTTTGCGTAATAGTGTCCTTATTAAATATGCATTCTGTTTAACAATTATTAAAAAACCACTGTATAATACTATTTTGTGTATTTTTTAAATAACATTTATTAAGTAATGGTAATGTCTTCTCACAGATATAATAACAGGATAAAAAACCCACACTCGTGTATTTGTGAAACTTATGAAAATAATACACCAAGATTTTCACTCCTAAGTTTCACAAAAAACCAGATTGGGTTTTTCGCCTATAAGAATTATTATTATTATTATTATTATCAAGATAGTTATACATTCAAGTTAAACAACTGGTACTCAACGCTAACATATTCAGCCTCTGTTATAAAAGTTTTCTTGAAAATTCTCGTATTATATTAATCATTCAAAAACCTTTAAAATTTAGAATATAAAAAATTCAAAATGGAAAATGGCAAACCTTGTGTGTGTGTGTGCAAGGAGCGCAGGTTGCAAGCCGAGTCAGACGCGACGAGTGAGTGAGCCCACACCATGGGTGGTCCCGGGATTTATAGACCCAGGAAGTGGAACATCCTAATCACTTGACTGAGATTCCAGCTTGCATATTTTATTGACAACATAAAGATCGCATCCCGTAACAATTTTCAGAGGCCTGTTTGCATAGTTTGTTTGGAGGCTCGGGCTCTCTCGTACATATTTCATAGTGTTTTTATATCTTTGGTTTCAGTGTTGAGATGGTAGAGCTTTGTAATTTTATATTTGGAGATGTATACAGGTAGGAAGTGATGACAATTAGGGGAAATCCAGAAGGAAGTTGACAAAAGACTTGTCACAGACAATACGTGGGTACAATTCAACAATAGTACAGTAAGTTTGCAAGGTCAAAACACTCAAATTGAAGAACACGCTCTCTATAGTTCAACGCTGCACACCACAACGTTTACATCCATTATATTTTTGTACTAAATGGAAGAAGAGAAGATAAAAACAGTTTGTTAGTTGGCATCATATTAAAACCTGTGAAATCATGACAGAGCCACCCATTGTTGCATATTTTAGAGCAAACAGACGTACATTCTCCCGGCTTCCTGTTCAGCCTTGGATCTTTTCATTCTATATATTCACGGCTATATACAATATCAACCCTTTCTGCTCTGCCCCGTCCACGTCTGCTTCCTTTAAGCAAGAAATAAACATCATTCTTGAGTTTTCTATGCTATACATACCTCGCCAAACTTTAAGTCAAAAGATGAAAGTGAGGGTTTTCTTTTCTTTTCTTTATTATTTTCATTTGGTAGATGTAATTTTATCTGCATTTTAATCTGATTTTAATTTGAAATCCCCGCTGAATATCATTAATTGGGACATTTTCATATTGTTTTGTGATGCCAATATATGCAAACATTCACTTTCGATAATTTATGTGTTTGTTTTCCTTTCTACCTCATAATATTTGGCTTATTTTCTGTATTGTATAAGGTGTTTAAATTAATCTATAAGTGAAAAGGCACTATTCATATAGTTTTGATCTTACTATTTTTCCTTTCTACCTCATAATATTGTTCTTATTTTCTGTATTTTATATGAGGTGTTTAATTTAATCTCCTATAAGTGAAAAGGCACTATTCATATACTTTTGATCGTACGTACATGTGGTTAAGAGCGCCAGTAAGACTCTGGATAGGTCTACTAGTCCAGGGGAGAGTGGGCCCCATTTACTTTTATTAATTTTGAATTGCGTATCTGTATATCATATTTTAAAACTTGTCACGTTTTATCTTCAGTGATGCTCCTTTTAAGTTTGTTCCAGATGTCTGCTTCTCTATTGTCGACCATTTTGACATCTAAATTTGTCCAATATGGTCTTGATTGTGTAGTTTAAATAGCATATTTATACAACTTTGTATATCTGTCATCTATTTATTTTTGTAATTCAGTTATATTTCACATCATTATGCGGCATTCAAGAGAGTAAGTTCTTTTCTCTTTATCAGTCTTTGAGTTTACTAAAACTTCAAGAGGCTACCGCTGATTTCTGCCTACTTTTCCGAGAGCCTAGTCCGTAAATACATTCTAAGTTTTAAAAAGTTAGTAACTTTTGTATTAGATTGTCTAAAGCTGTACAACATACAGCAAGGAAAATCTCACTCCATTTATGCTGTCTGCCTCTTTTTATATGTTAACCGTTTCCTGATCTAATTATATAGGCTATATTTGGACGTTGATGCTATATCTCTCAATTTCGGTTATTAATCTCTCAGGATGAGCAGGTTGAAAATTTTGATAAAGTTAAAATGAGCAATAAAATTTTGAGCATAATCCACTACTTTAAATGCACTTAAATAGAACGAGATTAGATTCGTGCTTATTAAAAAATAATTCTTCAACGTTACTAAAAATAGAATTTGCATTTCTTAAATTATTTACCTACAACTGATATTAACAAACATCAGCTTTTATTATTAGCCGTTTTCATAGTTTATTTTTACCACTGAGAATAACATTTCCCAAGTGAAGTTACATGAAATATTGTATTGATCTTTATTATCAGTAAACTATAATAAATGATTCTTTGACTTCTAATAATATAATTTTGACTTATTTTGTTACTGGTAATAATTAATTATCCTGCGTTCCACATCAGCTGTGTATTTCTTGATAAGTTAACTTTACCAATTACAGTATAATTTGTTTTCCCGATGCATTACACACATCCCATGACGCTGAAATGATTATATGACTATAAACTCTAATTTACTTCATTCTGCTTCACAAAGTAAAGCAAATTTATAGTTTATTACGTAATTAAATCTTCCTCCATCATTTAAAGTTTGTTTTGATAGGCAAATAAAAGAAGGGACACTGCCTTTATTTCTTAACACCCATGCTAATGTTTCATCACTCGTACTAGGGTTTCCAGCAGCCATACTAGTGTTCCAGCAGCTATACTAGTTGTCCAGCTTCCACACTAGTTTTCTGGCACTGATACTCGTTTTCCACCACCTATACTAGTTTCCAACACCGGTACTAACTTCCCAGCGCTCATTCCAGTTTCCTAACACTCATACTAATTTCCAACACACTAGTTTCCTAGCTCTTATACTTGTTTTCCAACACCCATACTGGATTTCCAATATCCATACTAGTTTCCAGCACTCATACTAAGAGTTTCAACAACAATACTGGCTTTAAACACCCAGACTAATTTTCCAGCACCTGTTCTACTTCTCCTGCATCCAGTTTAGTTCCGTGGAACCCAAACTAGTTTACAAAACCCCATATTTGCTTTACTGCACCCATACTACTTTTCCAGCACCTATACTACTTTTCCAGTACACCCTAAGTATTTCCCTAACATTTTTATGTTACAGTTGGCCATTGCAAATTTGAAAAATAAAGTTTGTTTTGTCCATTCAGTAGATATTCAAATAATTTGCTGCCTTATCTCAGCAGCTGGTGTTCTGCACCTTATGCTGAACATGCGCTTTTATCAACAAAGCAAATTATTCCCCTTTGGATGTTCTTTTTTTGTTAAGTCCTGTTGGTCTTGATACGCTTAATATCCCTGAATACTACTGACCTTCCCCAGTCTTGAGATTATATCCTCTCACTTGACTTTAAGAAAATTCAGCGTGTTTATTTTATGCTGAATTTGGTTCAGCCAGACAGTGAACAGAGAAGTTTGAACGGTGAATTTTGTTTTAAATGTAACAAAATTCACACAATTTATCACCAACCGTGAAAATAAGGTTGTTATTGTCCATATCCAATCATGTTTAGCGGCATAATTAGAATATGTTTTAGAGCAGTAGGGTCACTGCTTAAGGGGGAATAAAGATACTTGTTTTCAGTAATTTTTTAATTATATTTTCAGCCAGAGTTACAATTTACCTGAGGGTCATCATCTCTAGTGACCTCGACAAGGACAGGAAGCCGGGGGTTTGTCAAAGACCCCCCCCTCCCCATTTACATTTATTTTATCCAGTTGGATTTTGAATTAGTAAGCTTCGGCGGGTATGCGGTTCCACGGGTTTATAACCCTATGGGTGAAAAAAACATCTCTCCTATGTGGCACAATAGCCACATACAAGATCAAGACTTAAAGCCGCTGTGTACTATGAGGCGCCTCCGCTAGGTAGCCATTCTTATCCAGGGAAGTGACCTCCATGTATTCCCCCCGGGCGACCTCCATGTATTCCCCCCGGGCGACCTCCATGTATTCCCCCCGGGCGACCTCCATGTATTCCCCCCGGGCGACCACCCACTATGTGGCCTGTCCCTGGGCGGCTGACTTGTCCATGAAATCCTCCCAACTGGCGCCCTTGATTTCTGGAAATTGAGGATGAAATGCGATTAATGACATCAGATCTTGCAACATGTACACTTAGTATTCTTAAAAAAAAAAGTTGTCTTTAGTTTAATGTGTAGTTTTGGTTGGTAAAGGTGTCCTGAGCGCCATTACTCCACACGGATAAACATTATTTGCTGGAACAGAATCCTCTAAATAATGTTATCTCCCATTCTCTCACTGCAGCACAGGATTAATACAAACCATTGTGGCAAAAAAATTGTGTGTAGGCTTCATGAGAACTTACTTGGCTAAGGTGTCTTCTGCATAAACCTGTGCCAGTAGAACCACAATGGCCACCAACACTAGCCCTCGCATCTGAATGAAGAAACGGAAAATAATCACGTAATGAATGACGAAATAGTAAATAATCATGTCATAAATGCATAAATAATAAATAATCATATGTAATGAATGAAGAAACAGTAAATAATCGTTTGCAACGAATGCAGAAACCATAAATTATTGTATACAATGAAGAAACAAATTAGTTAAGCTTATATATATATATATATATATTATATATATTATTAAATATGACCAAAAAAGTAAGATTAATAATTCTAACACGAATTTTCTCAATCTTTCGTACATTACGCTTCACTATACGAAAGATTGAGAAAATTCGTGTTAGAATTATTAATCTTACTTTTTCGGTCATATTTAATAATATATGTCTACAGGAAAGACTGCTACCAAAATATACTAATATACACTAATATATATATATATATATATATATATATATATATATATATATATATATATATATATATATATATATATATGCATCTTTGGTTTAGATAAGAATTGACAATTTAGACCAAGATTTAAGAGACCAAGATGTGAATTGCCTCAAGAATTTGTAATCTTCAAAATTACAAATTACAAATTACAAATGAAGATTACAAATTCTTGAGGCAATTCACATAAGAATAGAGCGACCTACCATGAACACCCAAATCACGGAACTATTTACTCTACCCACCATGAGAGTAAGGACAAGACAAGAACATATCGATGCCAACACAGAAGACAATGTCCAACATAACAGGCCAACTACACTGGATTAATCTTTGTGTTTAGATAGGAGATGCCTCGTATGGGCCAATAAGCCTTCTGCAGCCCCTATGTTTATCCCTTATGTATCCCCCATGTTTTCACCTTCATTGTATTATCACCTGACCTAATGCGGGTATAAAATCAACTAGTATTGTAAGATCTGTTCACTTGAGAATGAACCATGGAGGTTCGAAACGTCGTGCAAATTATACAAATAAGTGTAATACACTCTATAGTAAATCACTTCTTTTCTTCACCTTAAAAGTACGAAAATGAGTTTTGGAGAACTCCTATTTCAATTAAGCCCTGATGCTAAGAAAATAGTTAGAGGGATAGAAGCCCTAAACCAGAAAATAATAAATACAGAATATGCGGTCATATTCAATGAAACATGTTTGAAAGAAAACCTGCTGCCAGTATACACCAATATAAACCCACATGACCCAGCAATCCGCAATACAGAGTTTACCTATAGGTATAGGCAAGAGCTCATTCGGCATCAACTAAACAAGAAGAAGGAAGCCCTCCAAACCTTTATGGAGCAGGCGGAGCATCTGTTAAACAAATGGACCCAGTACGACATCCCTATCCAACTCAAGCAAACCATCAACAGTGAACTATTTAACCTGAAACAACAACATAAAACTCTTGTAGAAACAAAGACACTCCGTAAGTTAACATCCCTAAACGGTGGACAGCTAAAAATCCCTCGTCCTAAAGATGGCTACTTTAACCTGACTTCTTATGATATATATATATATATATATATATATATATATATATATATATATATATATATATATATATATATATATATATATATATATATATATATATATAGGGGTACCACCACTGGTGTAATTTAAGGGTGCACTGGTATACAAAAAAATAATATATATGTATATACATATAACTGTGGCGATATTACACATGTGAAGGACCTCCATGTTACGGGGAATGAAATGTAACACATCAATCAGCCATTTACACAAAGCATAGCTCCAGATCAGGCTTCCTTAAACTCTAGTAACTAGGCTATGTTTAGTGTCCACCAACCTTCACAAGAGTGTCTTGAAGTGTTGACCTTGAAGACGCCGCTGCTACACTGAGGGATCTTGTCGCTGCTCGAGTATATATACTCAAACCCAGCCGGGTCAGCGTCCTCATTTGAGAGTTTCCTGGATCACAGTGTTGCTACATATCGGCTTTCTCTCATGTGTTGCTTTCTCATCACTCATGAGTTGAAAATATATCCTTTACATAACGAGCGATGTTTTTTCTTTATGAACTTATGAATACAACTAATAAAGAAACAAGATTGTGGGCCGCTCCAAGCAACAGCCTAGTGGACCAAACTCTCACAAGTCAAGCTTGACCTTGGGCCGGGCTTGGGGAGTAGAACTCCCAGAACCCCATCAACCAGGTAGCTTTTCTTAAATTGTCTGACTGCCTATTTCAAATTGTCTATATACCTAGCCATAAAAGTATTTGTGTGTACGTCTGGTAACATACTACATGTGTAAAGGAAGAAATGTATATGTTTATCACTCAGAATGTTCGGTAATATGTTTTTGTTTGTCAATATATGTATGAACACGATGTACTGAACGGGGTGAGAATAGCTTCAGCTACCTCATCCCTTTGTGTGTATTTTACCTCAATAAACTGATTTCAATTTCAATTTCAATTTCAGTTCAACTAATAAAGATGGTTGGATAAAAATCCACACTTTTGTATTTGTGAAATTTATGTAAGGAATTTACTACAAGTCTTTCGCACCCTCAAGACCTTTGACCTTTTGTCAAGGTCTTTGTGTGTGATTAGGACGAGACTTCCATTTCAACGTCTATTATATATTTGTTTATCTTTACTTAAGAAAATACAATATAAATCATATATACATGAGTTTACAAGGCAATTAGATTAGATTAGACATTGAGATGTAAGTCTCGTCCAAATCACAAACTCAGACCTTGATAAAGCACTCAGGAGAGTGCGAAAGACTTGGTGTAAATTCCTTACATAAATTTCACAAATACACAAGTGTGAGTTTTTATCCTATATTATTATTATGTCTGTGAGAAGATATTACCATTACTAAATAAAGTTGGTATTGTGTTGAAATTGAATTTGATTTTAGGTTACTCAAAAGTGCTAGGTACACAAAAGCTAGTTTATTCTCATTCACAGAAGAAACGCGTGGCATTCCTGTATCAGCTGGTCTAACACAACTCACACGCAACCCTACACATGAATGTGTTTACATAAAGTCAATATTGATCTATCTTAACGCGTATAATATTTACGTTTAGACTACGTGATCTTCAATACTGAATTAATTCACGGTTGTGTGACATCAGGTAGCGTACGCTTTTATAGTAAACGGAGCAATATTTATTGTATGAGAAACATTTAATAATGAGTTCACGAACCGCCGTCTATTATCACACTAAATGGTAGTTATTTTGTGTTCTTCATACAATTAGCCCAAAGATCTGACCAAATCTTTATTCTTAATCTCATGACCTTTGAGTACCTGTGATTTCTCTCCTTTCAGATCGTATTATTTAGAGAAGAATTCTAACATTAGCGCTGTAGGGATACCCAAATCTGATTACAAATTTTGAATCTTATGCATCTTATATATGCAGACTCAGCGACAATATCTGGGTCATCGTGATTCATCCTGGCATTTCAAATAATACATCGCATTTTGACGTCAAAATCCCCAACTGACAAAATATGATATACGTGAATTATTGTATCGCACAATAATTTACGTTTTCTATGAGTAGGTTTATCGGTTATATTAGGTCAGATTAGGTTCGGGTAATTTGATACATCATTTTTTGTCCGTTGTGACAACTTCAGTGACGAGGGTGTACTCACCTAGTTGTACTCACCTAGCTGTGCTTGCGGGGGTTTAGCTTTGGCTCTGTGGTCCCGCCTCTCAACCGTCAATCAACTGGTATACAGGTTCCTGAGCCTACTGGGCTCCATCATATCTACATTTGAAACTGTGTTTGGAGTCAGCCTCCTCCACATCACTTCCTAATGCATTCCATTTATTAAGTGTGATAAGAGTGTGTGTGTGATAGGTGTGTGATAAGCGTTGTAAGAGCAGCCTGTCTGCACCCTAATGCACTGCAGTTTTGACGCCGTCGACCACAACGTCAACATTCTGGAGAGAGATAAAGCAATAGCACCATAATAGTGACGCTACCACGGGTGTGTCGGGCGGCCGCGATTGGTTAGGATTGATGCCAAGATTCCTACGCTTTCGGATAGGCAAAAACATTTCAAATTCCGCCCATCCTCGTGTTTAGACAGTACTTATAATAATGACGTGGACCATCGTGCATATAGTGACGTAATGGACAGTTAGAAAGTAGAATTTGGCACTATTGAATTTAGACAAACTAGAAAAGGTTTTGTATTTGTGTTGCAATTAAAACCTAACCTAACCTACCCTAACCATTCTAGGTCTAATACATGTTGTTTCAGACATGTATTAGGCCTAGGTACTATTAATTTAGTAGATATATGTGCTATACTAAGTCTAGGAATATTTAAGTTTGTCTTTAGCTTTACCCGGACTATAAGGGGAATATTACCAAATTCTACTATGTAATTATCCATTGCGGCTATATATGTACGATGGTACATATCGTACATATATTGTACGATGTACTATCTAAACAGGAGGATGGGTTGTCAAATCTGACGTTTAGTAAAATGGTGAGAGAGAGTTCTATTAAAGAGAGAGTTTTGATACTGGAGTCGTTTAAATGGGGTCAGAGGCGGGCCCATGCACACCAGGAAACATTGGCCATGAAGGATGAGGGAGGAGGCCCGCACGGCCTGCCCAGTGCTCCTCTTTGAACGGTTCCCTTATCACTTGTATGAGGAGTTGATATGTGGGTGATGGTGCACGGGCGGCAGGTTGCTGGGAGGTGGTTTATGGGTAGTGGCAGGTTGCTGGGAGGTGGTTTATGGGTAGTGGCAGGTTGCTGGGAGGTGGTTTATGGGTAGTGGCAGGTTGCTGGGAGGTGGTTTATGGGTAGTGGCAGGTTGCTGGGAGGTGGTTTATGGGTAGTGGCAGGTTGCTGGGAGGTGGTTTATGGGTAGTGGCAGGTTGCTGGGAGGTGGTTTATGGGTAGTGGTAGGTTGCTGGGAGGTGGTTTATGGGTAGTGGCAGGTTGCTGGGAGGTGGTTTATGGGTAGTGGCAGGCTGCTGGGTGGTGGTTTATGGGTAGTGGCAGGCTGCTGGGAGGTGGTTTATGGGTAGTGGCAGGTTGTTGGGTGGTGGTTTATGGGTAGTGGCAGGTTGCTGGGTGGTGGTTTATGGGTAGTGGCAGGTTGCTGGGTGGTGGTTTATGGGTAGTGGCAGGCTGCTGGGAGGTGGTTTATGGGTAGTGGCAGGTTGCTGGGAGGTGGTTTATGGGTAGTGGCAGGTTGCTGGGAGGTGGTTTATGGGTAGTGGCAGGCTGCTGGGAGGTGGTTTATGGGTAGTGGCAGGTTGCTGGGTGGTGGTTTATGGGTAGTGGCAGGTTGCTGGGAGGTGGTTTATGGGTAGTGGCAGGTTGCTGGGAGGTGGTTTATGGGTAGTGGCAGGTTGCTGGGTGGTGGTTTATGGGTAGTGGCAGGTTGCTGGGAGGTAGTTTATGGGTAGTGGCAGGTTGCTGGGAGGTGGTTTATGGGTAGTGGCAGGTTGCTGGGAGGTGGTTTATGGGTAGTGGCAGGTTGCTGGGAGGTGGTTTATGGGTAGTGGCAGGTTGCTGGGAGGTGGTTTATGGGTAGTGGCAGGTTGCTGGGTGGTGGTTTATGGGTAGTGGCAGGTTGCTGGGAGGTGGTTTATGGGTAGTGGCAGGCTGCTGGGAGGTGGTTTATGGGTAGTGGCAGGTTGCTGGGTGGTGGTTTATGGGTAGTGGCAGGTTGCTGGGTGGTGGTTTATGGGTAGTGGCAGGCTGCTGGGAGGTGGTTTATGGGTAGTGGCAGGTTGCTGGGAGGTGGTTTATGGGTAGTGGCAGGTTGCTGGGAGGTGGTTTATGGGTAGTGGCAGGTTTCTGCTGGTGGTATGTGGATGAAAGACGATTGTTGGGGGGTGAGATATGTGGGTGGTGGGGGTGTGCTGCTGGAGATATGTGGTGATAATAATAATCGGGATATGTGACATGGTGGTGGGTTGCGGGCTCACCATAGCCCGTGCTACATGGACATTTCGTTCTGAGTAGCTAAATCTAAAACAACAACAGCAATGTGGCATGGTAGAATAATTGTCGGGGTGGTAGAGTGATACTGGGGATATGTGGGAGTTATTGAATACTGATAGGGATATGTTGGGGGGGGGGAGGGGAGTGGAAGTGTGCTGCCGGCCAGACATGTGAGGACCCTCCGGTACATGGGTTAGAGTGACCATAAGTAGCTCAGTCCTGAAGGAAGTAAGTTGTGTTGTGTCGGGTAATTCCCGCCCCCACGGCTGTAACCTACGTAACCCACGGCTGTAACCTGCTAGGGGCTGTAACCTATGTAACCCACGGCTGTAACCTGCTAATAAGTTTATATACCCCGACTCATGGCAAGTTATATACGCTAATATATATACCTTGATTCCGCTAATAAGTTTATATACCCCGACTCCTGGCAAGTTATATACACTAATATATATACCTTGACTCCGCTAATAAGTTTATATACCCCGACTCCTGGTACAGGACTTACCTGTGCCAGGTAAGTCCACTACGGGCTCACCATAGCCCGTGCTGCTTGGAACTTTTTCTTCCGATTTGCTGAATCTAAAACAACAACAACTGTGGCCTCACGACACGGTCAAGGGCGCTAGCCTGGGAGTACTAAGCGAGTGGGTTCGAATCCTCCTCCGGGCTCCTACTGATGTTCTCATTGATTCCCGCACGCGTCACACCTCCGTCTTGGTACATCAGAAATTGGGAATAAGAATATTTGATTTAGCTTTTTATTTGTTTGTTTTACTCACCTGTTCAGGTAACAACAAGTTTACTGTAGATTGTGTTCATCTTTGGCTATATTTTGTTATATTTCTTAATTAGTTTGGTTAATATTTCTTGTTAATTGCTTTAAGTTTGTTATTTGTTAGCCATGGATGGTTTAATCCACTGTTACTTTGCCTCACTCTTAGCCTCACTCTGGGTTACAACTCATACTTGACCTCACTCTGGGTCACAGCTCACAATTAACCTATGACCTTCAGGGAGACCCAGAAAACTAACAAGTACAGAGACCTAGAACGTTGTTACAGGTTCGTGCCGATAGGCTCTGAGACCCTGGGCGCCTGGGGTAAATGTGCACTTAAGTTCCTAAAGGAGGTGGGTGAAGAACTCATGTCTAAAACGACATCATAATGATGTACAATGATTTCGAGGACCATTTCGATGTCCTTTTAGACTGACATCATAAAAATGAAGGTGGCGAGGTGTACAACAGGCGACGGAACAACCAATACCACAATACACGTACTTCTCATAACATTGTTATAAATAAATAAATAAATGTTTATTTAGGTAAGGTACATACATACAAGAGATTTTACAAAGTTTGTTGGATTAATAGATAGAGCTAGTACATACAATGCCTAAAGCCACAACTACGCAAAGCGTTTCGGGCAGGGCGTTTCTGTTCTACAGAAACTTTCGGGCAGGGCGTTTCTGTTCTACAGAAACTTTCGGGCAAGCGTTTCTGTTCTACAGAAACTTTCGGGCAAGCGTTTCTGTTCTACAGAAACTTCTTCTCCACAGCCTACAAAGCGGAGGAAAGAGCCCTAAAAGAGATCATTGAGAGGAACGTTACCCCAACTGACGTCAACCAAAAGATAAAACTAACAATATATTATAAGAGTAAGAAAACCGCCAACCTGCTAATGAAGAAAACTCCCGACACCAAGAAACACGCCTTGAAAGAGACCAACGTTGTCCTAAGCCTTCACGTGCCTCACATCAGTCCCAACGAACTCAGTATATAGGCAAGACAACAACGTCTCTCTCTAGGGGATTAACAATGCACAACAGGGCTCCATCAAAGAATATACAATCGCCACACACAACGAGACATTAATCACCTGGGATATTTTGGCGAGCAACACCGAAATAATTGATACAATGACAATAGAAGATTACACATCAGTGAAGCGCTGCATATCAAGAAATCTAGACCAGCAATTAATAACGAGCTAATACACAATTACACTCTACCGGCTAACGCAGAAGCTGAACCGAATGACCCTGCAACAGGAACGGAAGCAGCCAGAAGAACATATAGCTGCCAACATGTCACACTCTATGTTGATAGATTTAATACTTATTTAATATCCATGTAATGTCATTCTTCCATATGTCACCTACCACCTCACCATAAGAGGATATAACCAGGTGCTACTCACAGTAGAATTTGTCTTTGAGAATGTGAGGTGAGACCTTACGAAACGCATCACTTAGGCGTCAGACTCAAATAAAAAGTAAAAATGAACTTTGGAGAGTTAATTTTTCAACTTCATGCTTCAGTGAAGGAAAAAATGATGTTGATTGTTTGTTGTCGTGTGTTTAGTACTTTTTTGTTGCAAATTTACTAGTTTTTCTTGGGTATTTAGTTGTTTCCTTATGGGGAGCTTGTATTTTTTTGTGGTATTACTATTTTTAGTTATGAGATTACTATTTTTTGTTGGGTATTTAGTAGTTTTTGTTGAGCGTTTAGTAGTTTTCCTTGGGTGTCATTTAATAATATTTTTTCGCACTAAGACGACTTGTAATCCCACTATGAGTGACAGGAAATATTTGATCTGTAACTTCACTATGTATACCTCACATGTGACCTGTTGTCTCCCTCTAGGTCACAGTTTACACTTCACCTGTGACCTCACTTTGAGTGACAGCTCACACTTGACCTGTATCTCGGCTCACAATTGAACTGTGACCTTACTCTTGTGTCACAGCTTATACCTGGCCTGTGACCTCTGTGAATTACGGATTAATTCAGGAGCATTTGGAATTGTTCAAAATAACGGACTTTTCATATGGTTTATTAAATAACAATAAAGTCTTTAAAATTGTGATATAAAACAACTTTTAATAAATAGAGCACATAAATTTGTAGATTACAAGTAATAACTTGTTATTAAATATAAATATAACAATTGGGGTATGGAATATGAATATTAGAGGAACCAAGACAAGCGGGATAACCTCCGTCAGCAGTGTGGGAACCACTGCATCAGCTCTAAACATACTTCCCAACACATGATGAAAGAAAAAGTCAGCGCCTTGGAAAATCAAATTAAATTGACCATATACCTATGTTTGCTGGCACCTCGGGGACAATCAGTTGACTGAAAGTGGCTGTTGAGAAGTAAATATTATCAAGTAAACGTGGCCACTATTCAAAGTTTAGAGAAAATCTGAACTACAAAAGCTGCAAGGTTGGTAAGGGTCGGCGGTGCATGTGGGAAGCCGTGTGGTGCGGTGCGCAAGGGGCTGGTGAAGGAGCGAGAGCACAAGAGTGTTGGCTCTGCCTCGCTGGCTCCACTGTGTGCTGGACCTATACACTCTTGTCTCATGTATTGATCATAGCACCACTTGTGTCCAGGGCTGAGCAGTTGACCTTATCCCACGGCAGCTGACGATGGTGGCCAGAGGACGGGCACAAGCCACGATAGCATCCACCTAATCAAAAGAAAGTAATACGTTTAATATATATTTACCTGAGTTTACCTGAGAACCTTACCGGCTCACTATAACCCGTGCTACATGGACATTTTGTTCTGAGTAGCTAAATTTAAAACAACCTGAGAGCCACTAATACTATGGCCTCGACGAGGACAGGAAGCCGGAGGCTTGTTGAAGATCCACCCAATTTGATGATTTCATATTGTCTGGGACAGAAAGCCTGCTGGCATTTTCAAGGCCTATCAACTTCTGGAAAGTTATTAAGACAGCCATAAGAGCATACTGACCAACCAGCATATATAAATTATGTCTGTATATAGCTGACTAAAGTATATGTTGTTGCTGTTTTAGATTCAGCTACTCAGAACATGAAGGTCCAGTAGCACGGGCTATGGTGAGCCCGTAAGTGGAGGCTCTTTGGAGCCATTATCTGTATACTAAAGTATACTCTGAGTCGTATATATATACACCGAGGGGGTACACCTCTCGGTTACCCATGTGCATGGGGAAGAGGCTTACTGGTGTCAGAAGAAGGGAGGAAATGTTAGCGTTGTGGAGAAAGGCCTACAGACCACCGGAACATAACACAGTGTGCAGTTACAAACCAAATAAGATTTCAACGGAGATCTAAGAGCACAGAAGTTGTTAAACACTTTGGAAATAATCTTACTGAAGCCAACATATGAAAACAATACTCATCCGCCGCCTCAGTGAGATAACAATTATTAAAATATTGCAGGCCAGCCAGAGGCTTAAGGCCCGCGCTAAATGATTCCTGGTGTAAAACCTCTTGGTCTACATGTATCTTCTCGCATTTGGAACCCCGTGTTGTAAATGCAAAGGTAAATTGGTAGCTCACTATTCAGAATGTCTAAGTATACCCGTTTTTTTTAAGTATACTGAGACGGGTGCCCGGGTGTCTCTCTCTCTTCCCATCTCCACCTTTCTCCCACAACACCCATCTGTGTCACATTTCTCTCCTAACATTCTCTCTCACCTCTTCCCACTATTTTTTTTATCTTAACGCTTAGGAACATGCGCATTTGTGCAGGTTGTTGTTGTTGTTGTTGTTAAAGATTCCCTACCTGGAACAAAAAGTTCCAAGTAGCACGGGCTATGGTGAGCCCGTAGTAATGTGCAGGTACCCTAGACTACTCGAAGGAGAGCACGGTGTCAACAACTAGCTGCCTTCTGAATGGGACTAACAGTGTGTTCTTCCTCTACCATTCATCTTGCAAGGATAGGTAAGACTAGCCTCAAGTGTCGGGCTACCAACCTTGGTGAACACACACACACACACATCCTCTCTTATAGATATATATTGTGTTTGATAACGGCTGTCCTACCTGTATAAATTGTATGTATATTGGCCATGAACAACATACATACATACAACTTCAGGCTTTCAAAGAATATTAGAGAGGAAGGTTGCAAGCAAGAAGGTCATGCACAATAGCCACAGCCAGATTGAAAACTTACAGCCGCCGGGTAGTCTATCCGATCGGGTAGCCACCACCATGTACGTGACCGGGGAGTCCTGGATAGTTGCCTATCACGGATTGGCCACCGTGTGATGGAAAATTGCCAACGTTGCCGTGAATTGGTCTTGATGGATAGCCGGTGTTTATTGACCCTGGGTAATATCCGCCCCCTATTGGCCTTGTTGGGTATTGGCCGCTAATTTGTCCTTGTATAGGTCTAGTCGGGTAGCCTCCTCCTGGGTATCGTCCCCCTGGGTATGCTCCTGGGTATCTTCCTGGGTATCCTCCTGGGTATCCTCCCGCTGGGAGGAGGTTGATGTTGACGCCCCCTGGGTTGCTGCAGGTTGAGGAGGAAAAGTGAATAATGTTAGTTTTAGCAATATGCATTCACATTACTTGTGGTTCATTCGTAGAATGAACCACAAGTAATGTAAAGCTTGTGACACGTGATTTAGACAAACCTGCCAACTCACAGTGAAGATATTCATTCACTTGTTAAGACAATCTCAGAAGTGCAGATCCATATGCTTCTAACCTTTCCAAATATGAACCAATCAATTCCTGCAGTACCCCGACGATTAATTGGGGGCAATAGATGGCAGTAATACAGCCTAAACTACTAGAAGCCACCTAGTACTGCCAATTTATCCATGTCCCCATGTAATATATCAATCATACAATGTATATATATGATGTAACTATATAACCTGAGCTTGTAAAAGCACCTTCATCATCTTCAGTGATTAAGTGCTTAATTGCACACTAGTTTCTTTATCAACCACCTCACCCTGTCAGAGTAAATGAGACAAATGTATGTATATGTGTGTGTGTGTGTGTGTGTATGTATATGTATGGGTATAAAGTATATATGGAAGCTGATCAGAATTACATTTCACCTTTGTGAATGTACATTAATGACACTATGTAAAAGACACATCAAACACTTTATGTAGGGCATACGTAAATCTGTGTATCTATGTATTTACGTATGTAGGTTAGCTTAGCATTTTAAAAGCACCGAATCACCTTCTGTGGTTGAGTGTTCAATAAACCCTTGAACTATATGTTTAACACTTCTCTAACCCTGTCCATGGAGGACAGAAGAAAATGTATATATGCTGGTTAGCATTGTAAATGTGTGGCCACGTCTGTGGTAGAAAATAATAATAATAATAATAATAATAAAAAAATATCGCGAGGAAATATTGTTTGGGGGAAACTTACTGATACAATACGGGATTTAAACTGGGGATGCCGACGAGCTCCACATCTTGAACAAGTAGCGGGTCCTGCTTGTAGAAGGTCGTGCCCTGCCCGACCTCCCCGGAGGTCTCCACTATGAGGTCAGCCCTGGCCTGGGCCACGAGCACCGCCCCGGCCACCAACACCAAAGTTCGCATCTGCAAATATGAAATTTGTTAACTAAAACCAGAATAAGATAGAGAAAAATAGTAATAGAGAAGATGAGGAGATAGGACGAACAAGGGGATTATGAGGGGAGGCAGAAGAGGGTGATGAGGAGAAGTGAGGGGAGAGAGGAGTGGTAAGATGGGGATGGTGGAGGAAGATAAAGATACACAGACCCGGGCACCGTCGGGTTCCCCTCTCTCTGTGTATGTGTATGTGTATGTGTAAGTAAATATGCGCTAGAAATTGTAAGGAAGAGAGGGCATGAGGGGAAGAAGATAGGGGAGGCTGGGGAGAGGTGTAGATTGAGGAGACCAAATGAGAGAGAGAGACAACGGTGGAATGAAAGAGAGAGACTATCCTGTGTACCACTTGGTATAACCAACCCAGATCACACACATACCTAAGTATAACCAAATATAAGCTCATACACTTAAATATAACCAACCCAGATCACACTAATCTGAGTATAACCAACCCAGATCGCACAACTAAGTATAACCAACTCAGATTTCACACCAAAAGATAACCAAGCCAGATCTTACACCTAAGTATAACCAGCCTAGATCACACCTAAGAATAACCAACTCAGATCACACACATACGTATAACAAATCCAGATCACATACACGTATAACCAATTCAGATCTCACCCTAAGTATAACCAATCCAGGTATCATATCTAAGTATAACCAACCCAGATCACACACACACACACACACACACACACACACACACACACACACACACACACAAGTATAACCAACCGAGATCACACACCTAGGTTTAACCATCCCAGTTCTCACATCTAAAGTATAACTAACACGGACCAAATATTTGCGCCTCGAGTATAACCAAACCTAACGCCTGGTCTTGAGTATAACTAAGAAAATATAAAGAAACTGTGCCCTACAATTATTTCCTAGCAAGTGCCTATAATCACTGGATATAACTAATGAAAATCAAATACTTGAATCCTGAATGAATCCGAGACACCAAACCATCCGAGTTTAAATTATAAACAACTGCTAAATACTGAAAATTGACATAGAGCATATTACCCGACCACTATCCCTAAGCTCCTGTGATCCACAAAATAACACTGCCAGCCAACAGACCTTAACAAAGAAAGTGCCTAGGTGTTGACCTTCAGATCGACGCCGGTACACTGAGGGATCTTGTCGGAGCTCGGGTATATATATGCCCAGCTCAGCTGGGGTCATCCTCAGTTCAACATTTCCTGCATCGGAGTGTTGCCACGTCTATAATTTTTTTTTCGTGTGTTGCTTTGAAATATGGGTTGCTAGCTGATGAATTACAGCATAGAATGATCATTGTCTTGTCTGTGGATTTGTGAAGATGGTGCATGTTATCATGATGGTGGTGTTATGATGAACCGGTTTTTAGGTTCCTCAATGGTGTTAGGTACCCCGATGGAGAAGAACTTAACCAATAAAAAATGTAACACGCTGGTATCAGGTGGTTGAACTCAGACCATTACCTACCTGCATTGTAGCCGCCTCTCCATTATATAATTTTGGTGAATTCGGTTAATGATTATATGTATTAAGCGGACGTTTTTCCAGCTGTATAGCAAGTTGTACTATCAGAGAGAGAGGATCAGTCCGCCTTAAGAAGTGAACAAGAAGACGATACATAAGAAAACAGGACTTTCACAGAAGGCAACAGGATCAACTGAGGTATACGACCTGCAGCTGTGCCTCTAGCAGTACCTTTACCTGTCTCTAAGCGACAGTGTCGTCGCTACGGCGTACACAGATTCGAATTTCAGAATTCAGTTGTATTAGTCACAGAAGCCTCTTTCATAACAACATATATTATTATGGGTCCTCTTGCCGATTGCAACATCATTGTTTACTAACAAAGTCTGGTACTGAGAGAGGCAAAAGTCAACCTCGTGCTGGGCGTGACTAGTCGATAAGACGGCGTCTGTGAAGAGTAGAGGCAGGAAAGATTATTTTAGAAGAAAGCCAATTTATAGGTTGATTAAAGCCCCCAACATGACAGAAGAGAACATTGTCTGCAGACTGAACACTTGTTTGCGTTCCTTTAGTCTGTCATTAAAAGTACGGCCACTTTAACTAAAGTACTGGAAAGGACAAGAGGGACAGGAAATGCAAAATTGGACAAGAGACAACACGGAATGATTACAAAAATCAAATCAAAATCAGAAGGGTGTTTTGTTATCTTATAACAACCACGCTGCCTCTGATTGGCTACAAATGAATGGTAAACTAACTTCTCCCCTTTGAGGCTCGTGTCTAGGTCTCTGTCGTGATGGGAGGCGGAGCCCTACAGTGCTTTAATATAAGCTGTGTGCGACAAATACAAATTTTCCAGACGCCTGGTGAGAAAAATTTTTGGGGAAGTTTATAAAATGATGGCGATTTTTAAATAATGTTTATTATATAATAAATTCAACTACATACATAACATCAATAAATAAAACACATCCATGCGTACTGTAGAAACAACAATTACATTACTAAAATAAATATATAACAAAGGGGGGATATTTGTATTGCACGCAACATACTCCTGCCTGAGCAGTTACTGTGATCAGTTCAGGTTGATCTGCAGTTGCACTGTATATGCTTCCGCATATACGTAAAAAACTCCACATTTTGGCATCTTGAAAACCAGATTAAATTCATGCCAGTGTTATCAGCTGACTAACAATGGGCGTTCAGAAGTAAACATTATCCGAGTGACGTGGTCTCGGTCTCTTAAATGTCGTGTTTGCTGTCTTCCTCGGTGACTCGTAGAAAACGTACCATAAACTCAACATGTAAACAAGCTAAGCAAGACTATACAATTCGTCGCAAGATGTATGGAAGTTCATTTTGAGATGGCCCGGGGGGATGGAGGACTTGGGAAGCAGGCTTGGTGAATGAGAGCGCAGTTCTCCTGGCGGGGTGAGGGCTAGAGAGTCCCTCTAGCCCTCTAGAGTCCCTCTAGCCGCTGTAAGGTATGGTGCGTTTACACACCCTTTGCCGTACGCAGTTATCAAAGCAACACCTGTACCCGGGACTGTAGCATTCGCCGTCGTATCTACACGGCAGCTGGCGATGGTAGCCGTAGGGCTGGCAATAGGCCGGACTGGGTGGACAAAGGCCGGGACGAATAAATGATTCGTGTGCTGAAACAAAATGAAACATTGCATAACTTGTAAACATCTTGGGGGTAGATGGTTGAAGGAAGATTAAGTCTAAAGAACAAATCCTCAAGGGGCTGTGACGAGGGTTCGAAACCTCGTCACGGCCCGTGTAGATTTGTTCATTTGCTGCATCACACTATTGTGATTTCTGAATGTAAAAATTAAGTATCACTTTAAGATCAGTGTCTTAGAGCATAAGACACACCGAAGTTCGGTTCCAATAGTGTGAGAATGGATATTTATATGTATTATGTACATAAATACTTGCTATAAATGATATCAGAGTGTGAAGGCTCTCGTCCGCCACTGAGAATATTATGTAACTTCATTTTATGAGAACGTATGAATCAGATTTTAGTGTGTGTACTCACCTAGTTGTACTTACCGAGTTGCGGTTGCAGGGGTTGAGCTTTGGCTCTTTGGTCCCGCCTCTCAACTGTCAGTCAACTGGTGTACAGATTCTGGAGCCTATTGGGCTCTATCAAATCCACATTTGAAACTGTATGGAGTCAGCCTCCACCACATCACTGCCTAATGCATTCCATTTGTTAACTACTTTGACACTGAAGAAATTCGTTCTAATGTTTCTCTGGCTCATTTGGGTACTCAGCTTCCACCTGTGTCCCCTTGTTCGTGTTCCATCCATGTCAATTCCCCTGAGAATTTTGTAGGAGTTATCATGTCTCCCCTTACTCTTCTGTCTTCCAGGGACGTTCTTTAGCTCCCTTAGCCTTTCCTCGTAGCTCATACCTCTCAGTTCCGGGACTAGTCTGGTGGAATACCTCTGAATCTTCTCTAACTTTGTCTTGTGTTTAACTGGGTATGGACTCCAGGTTGGAACTGCATACTCCAGGATTGGTCTGACATAAGTGGTATACAAGGTTCTGAACGATTCCTTACACAAGTTTCTAAAGGCAGTGCTTATGTTGGTCAATCTAGCATATGCCGCTGATGATATCCTTTTGAAGTGGGCTTCTGGGGACAGGTTCGGTGTGATATCAACCCCCAGATCTTTCAACTTTTGCAGGATTTCACCTCCCAGATGGTACATTGTGTTCAGCCTCCTACTCCCTTCACCTAATTTCATTACTTCATGGTGTGTGTGTGTGTGTGTGTGTGTGTGTGTGTGTGTGTGTGTGTGTGTGTGTGTGTGTGTGTGTGTGTGTGTGTGTGTGTGTGTGTGAGAACGGAAGGAGTACAATTGTAATTATTAAGAAACACTACTTTAGCAGTATGTCTTTGTCTTAGATAAATAATGTTATCTTGAAGTTATCTTGTGATGATTTCGGGGCTTAGCGTCCCCGTGGCCCGGTCCTCGACCAGGCCTCCTTTTTGTTACACACACCCCCAGGAAGCAGCCCGTAGCAGCTGTCTAACTCCCAGGTACTTATTTACTGCTAGGTAACAGGGGCATCAGGGTGAAAGAAACATATTGCCCATTTGTCTCCGCCTCCACCAGGGATCGAACCCGGAACCTCAGGACTATGAATCCGAAGCGCTGTCCACCCAGCTGTCAGGCGCCCTGGCCACGTGCTATATAAGTTTGTGTCAGATAACTAAATTATAAATGTACGGTCATTTATGAATAATTTGTTTTTATTTATTTTGTTAATTAACTGCAATACACAAATTTTGTTTAAATTTGACAAATTAAAAGCTCAATGTTCAGTTCAATGTAAGTAATGACTTTTTAAATGATATTTGTTATACAAAATATTGTATCATGTATAAAAGTCATACATCAGAATGATACTTACAGCCGCTGTGTCCTGGGTAGATTCCCCCACCTGGGTAGCCTCCCCCAACTGGGTAGCCTCCCCCAACAGGGTAGCCTCCCCCAACTGGGTAGCCACCTTGTCCTGGGTAGCCTCCCCCTACTGGGTAGCCTCCTTGTCCTGGATAGCCACCATGTCCTCCTGGATAACCACCATGTCCTGGGTAGCCGCCTTGTCCTGGATATCCTCCGATATTCTCGTGACTGTGCCGGCTGGAAGGTCAAGAATAAAGACTAACATGAGCCCATGAAGGTGGTGTCACATGTGCTCTCTAAGTTACCTATGATGTGTTATGAGAGACATAGTAGAACTGTGTGATGCTTGGAGGCCAGAGGTGGACGCCGTCTGAGGAACTCTAAGACTGATAAAGCCACGTGTTTGTCTACGAGCTGAAGCTAGGGAACAGAGCAGCCTTAGGAACTCCTCATTAATGCCACGGGGCTCTTGTTATTGTATCTCTCAAGAGGTATCAAAGACCTTGCTAAAAGTCAAGATAGAGATTGTCGCAATACTTTCCGTTGTCAACTGCTTGGAGTATGCTGGACATGGGTGAGAGTAAATTTGTTTATGCCAAGCGGCCTTTAGTAAAATCGTGCATTGAATCCTTCATTAATCTATGTTTTTCAAGGTGTAAGTAAATATCTTTAACGCATAACGACTGCAGCGATTTTAAAACAATAAACGCTAAGCTAATTGGACACGCTAAGTTCGTGGCAAGTGATCTATCGCCCTTCTTAAAACTCAACACAGCGTGTGGAAAATTATTCCAGTGTTCATATTAATTTTCATACTTATTTAATAATGATTAAATATAAATATATTTTTTCTGATTATTAACCTCGCGGAGGGGGGTGGAGGGTGGGGGTGGGGGAGGGGGGTTACTTAGCGGTGCCCAGGACAGTCTCTCTCTCTCCCCATTCCAACTTTCTTCTTTCGCATCTCCCCACACCTTCCCTGCTCTTCCCTCTCATCCCCCCTTTCCCACCATCTCCTCTCCCCTTCCCTTTGCCTCTTCCCATTCATCTTCCCCTCGTCCCGTCTCCCTCCCCCCCCTCGCTATATCTCCAGCACCTCTTTACCATCTCCAACCTTGAACATCCATTTCCATTTATAGCTATAGAAGGTGCACCCGGCTACATCCGGGTCTCTTCCTCTTTCTACCGTTTACCCCACTACCCCAGTCTTCGCCCCATCTCCCCCTTGACACACGTCTACATCCCCTTGGTTCCCCTTGGTTCCCCTTCCTCTCTTCCCCCCCCACCCCCACCCCCCTCTTCCAACTCCTCAGAAAATGAATTATTAAAAAGCACTGAAACAATCGTATGGTCTCAGATTTTTTTGTAATAATACATGAGGTACATCTGCATTTGTGCAGCTACCCTACACTATGTGAAGTGGAGTACAGTGTGTCAAAAAAAGCTAACTACGTGAAAAAATATTGTCATCACAGAAACTCTATAGGAATCGGGCTAAATATTTTATACTCGACGTAATGAAAATTGCATTTTGGGTGGAGAGGGGAGGGGGTGTCTATTTACAAATGATAATACTTTTTAAAGCATTTAATGTAGTCCTACCCTAACCAGCCTATGTTCGTCCCGGACCCCAGACCATACCCCTGCAAAATTGGGCGAGGCTAGCCTCAAGCATATGGCCTCCAACTTTAAACAGACATTCTTATAGTTTAGATTCTTAATTTCAAAGGCAAGTGTTGCAGCCTTTCGTAAGTCAAGTGTGACTCAAGAGATTAATCCTTATATTACGTCCCTAAGATCACTATGTTATGAACATCGTAATGCACTGTTAGTCCAGCTAAGTAAAGTTATCATTTATATTTGAAACATTATTTGTTTCACACACACACACACAGGAAACAACCCGTAGCAGCTGTCTAATTCTCAGGTACCTATTTGCTGCTAGATCAACATGGGCATCAGGGTGAAAGAAACTATGCCCGTTTGTTTCCGCCTCTGCCTTTGATCGAACCCAGACCCTTAGGCTTACGAACCCCGAGCGTTGTCCACTCAGCCGCCAGGCCCCTGACGAGCATGTGTTGTCATGACCCAGCACATACCAGTTACGACTGGATACACTGTGGCCATTCTCTACTGTCAATGTACCTTTATTTCCATTGTGTGCCAATTGACTTTTGGCCATTCATATTAAAATGTCCTTATTTACACGTGTATGTTCCTGAATGTTACTGTCTAATATTATTTGTGAATATGATATATTATGATGTATTGTTAGTAAGGGTTAACTGTTTGTTTAGACCGGCTGACGTGCTGCCGTCATAACCCCCACCCTCTTCCCCCCTTGTTTCATATGTGTTTTATATGTATGATAATATTATTCATGTTCTATATTTTTGGGTGTAGTGAACATCTGTGTATGTTCCAGAGTCTTGTGATTAACTTTAAGTTAGTCATGTTTATTTCTGTGCTCTATATTGGAGTGTGTGACATTTGCTAGTGTTGGTACTAGTGGATTGTACCAGGGGTCAGCAGGCTAGGGAGACTTCTCTGTACGAACGTGTACATCTTTCCTCGATCTTTGACGGCTTTGGTTACATTTATTAAACAGTTTACAAGCATGAAAACCCTCCCAATCAACTGTTGTTATTGTTATAAACAGCCTCCTGGTGCTTCGGAGCTCATTAACTGTGTAATAATTGGAAATAAATCCGCCAAAAGATTGAGAAAAGATGTACAGGTTCGTAAGTGCTTGCGTAAGTGCTTTCGTGAATCTGGCCCATGGATAGTGGAGCAGGACACGTGTGTGTGTGTGTGTGTGTGTGTGTGTGTGTGTGTGTGTGTGTGTGTGTTTACTAGTTGTGTTTTTGCGGGGGTTGAGCTTTGCTCTTTCGGCCCGCCTCTCAACTGTCAATCAACTGTTTTACTAACTACTTTTTTTTTTTCCCACACCACACACACACACACCCCAGGAAGCAGCCCGTGACAGCTGACTAACTCCCAGGTACCTATTTACTGCTAGGTAACAGGGGCACTTAGGGTGAAAGAAACTTTGCCCATTTGTTTCTGCCTCGTGCGGGAATCGAACCCGCGCCACAGAATTACGAGTCCTGCGCGCTATCCACCAGGCTACGAGGCCCCCTATGTGTGTGTGTGTGTGTGTGTGTGTGTGTGTGTGTGTGTGTGTGTGCTCTGGGTCTTGTATATATTGTTTTTATTGACTTCTTACTATATGTATGAAGGAGATTATTGTTTTGGATCAGTTTATCTTAGTGTATTCACGTGTATATGTTTATAATTTTGTGGTTGGTGACTGGTGTTGTTATTGGAGTCGTTTGGGAAGATTGTCATAATTGGGCTGTTGTTGGACATGGCCTCCGATGATGAATTTGTGGACTTAGATAAATTTCATGGTTTGTGGACATAGCCTAATTTCCTCGTTTATGGACTTCGTCAAATTCCTGGTTTGGGGACTTGTACTTTTGAGAGGAAATTCTGACTGCCGCATTTCCAGACATGAAAGACCTGTAATTGACTCTCAATTGTCAAGTCATTATGGATCTAATCTTCCGTAGAGTAAATGACTTTGTCACTTTTCCAGTCATTGTGGACTCTGCCGAAATTACGAAGAGTCTAGACTGCCATTTGTCAGTCCAGTTGGGACTTAGGTTTTCTGAAGGCAGAAGAGAGGACTTTGACTGGTTATTGATGTCCATACTGAGACTTTACCCCATTCTGGTGTTGTAATGTCACTACCCAACATGTTCATAACGTTACAGCCAGTCTTAAGCTTCCTAGTGTAGTTGACCAGACCACACACTAGAAGGTGAAGGGACGACGACGTTTCAGTCCGTCCTGGACCATTCTCAAGTCGATTGTGATTCCTAGTGTATCATTGTCAGTAGGTAAACTGTACTTAGTGGCTTCTAGATGCTTGACTTGTGCCTGTTTAACGTAATAACCAGTCTTAAGTTGACTAGTGTACCACTGTTGTTAGGTGATTGTGGCCTAGTAAGAGCTAGCTGTTGGACTTGTGCACTGATAAATGGATTTACTAGTTGTGGATATGTGTATAGATCATGTTGTATACAGCGCGGTGTCATGTTTGCCCCAGTAAACTGGAGGATTTTACCTAGGCTTTCACTTTACCCTAGACATAACCTTTGAGGCCATGCAGGTGACTTTTTGATTATTGATGGAAAGTTAAATGAACAAATCCACAAGAGCCGTGACGAGGATTCGAACCTGCGTCCGGGAGCATCCCAGACACATCCCCCCCCCCTTGTGGATTTGTTCATGTGATGCATCACGTTAGTGTGATCTCTGTGTGTGTGATGGAAAGTTCTATGACACCAGCGATACTGTGGGAAATCTTGACACGACATGTTTGTGTGTATGTGTGTGTGTGTGTGTGTGTGTGTGTGTGTGTGTGTGTGTGTGTGTGTGTGTGTGTGTGAGGTTAACCTGAAGCATGGTTACCGATTGTGGTCCCTGTGTGCCGGAGAATATCAGTGCACCGCGGGTGCCTCATCTAAGACTTCCACAGTGAGAGAAGTCTCGGCATCACGCCCAAGATCTCCACAAGCCACTAGTGTACATACGTGACTGTACGCTGAAATGGACACACACTGAGCATTTTAAACAGAAAAGATACCGATTTGAGAACGAAAATGGTTTTGAAATGTTAGTTTCAAACACGTTTTTATATTTAAAAATGTACGAATCATGTATTTTTACAGAAAAAAAAACGGTATTGCGAGAAAATTGGTTTTGAGATGTTATTAAAAAATTTCATGTTTTAAGCCCATGAAAGTTTGACGACTAAAGCATAAATCACTTTAACAACTCAAACATCTTGTAAGTAAGTCCCTTATAACAGAAAATGACACGCAATATAAACTTCAAGTAGTGTAAAGGAGGAAATGTATATGTTTATCTCTCAGAATGTTCGGTAATATGTTTATTGCTTGTGATGTGTGTCTATGTATATATTAACACGATGTACTGAACGGGGTGAGAATAGCTTGAGCTACCTCATCCCTTTGTGTGTATTATACCTCAATAAACTTATTTCAATTTCAAGTAGCAACACTATTATATAAGTAAACACCGGTTTTGCTACAGCCGCGTGTGCTTATTAATGAGAGTGCGTCATAAGTATCGTCGACGACTCGTCGACTCGCACCTCAATCAACTCAGTTTTATAATCAGGAGGCCTGGTCGACGACCGGGCCGCGGGGACGCTAAGCCCCGGAAGCACCTCAAGGTAGGTAACCTGACTCATTCACTAGAACACCTCCTGATGACTTACTGGTAGAGTAATCCGTCGGCGCTGGAGATGCCGACGAGCTCCCCGTCGTCAGCAAGCGAGGGGTCTAGGCTGTAGAACGCCGTGTCCTGCAGGACTTCTTCAGGACCTATGTCCATTAGGATGTCCTCTGCCCCGGCCCGGGTCAGGAGAACCGCCCCGGCCACCAACACGCTCAGTGCTCGCATCTGTGTACACCAGAATGTCCTTTAATTGTACAACAAATAATCTTTTCTCCTCTTTACCCCAGTTAAATATAGTCTATATTTAAATAAATATAGACTATATTTAAGTTAAAAATTAAATTAAATATAGTTAAATATAGTCCCCAGTTAAATCTGTGTCTATCATCGTCATACTATAGTTTTTGTTGTAACTGAAAATTACTATATGTTTTCAACTAATATATCGAATTTAAAGACTCCATAAATAGCCACACCATAACAGTAACCCCTATTATATAGTATGTAGCAATCATGCTATGTTACCCCATATGTTATGTAACTCCCTAGCATCTAATCCCCATGTTATGTAACCCCCCTATGCCAGACAACCCAATCAAAAGATATATACATCGAGACGTATACTCCAGTTATCACTATATATATATATATACTAAGTTTACTATAGGCCCTTGGAATGTGTTGACACGCGTCACCTATACAAACACCAAACATCATTGGACTTGAATAAGAGCCTGTTCCAGTTTTATAATAAAAAACAGGTGTCAAGGATCAATATGATCCTTGACACCAGAGCCGCAAGTATAACCCACTCACATCAAACACCTGGGGAAGCCCAGACCATGCGATTCACTAAACTGTGACAATATTTACTTTGCACAGTGTTTGGTTACCCGCCCAAATAGGCGATAGTACTGCCCCAACAACACTGCCTTTCCACTGACCTTCTCAGGATAGTGTGCAGGTGTGGACACCCTAGACGCTGCCACCACACTGAGGCATCTCCTCTCTGACTGAATATATATATATGGGCGAGCCCAGAATGTATGTCATCCTCATTTGACCTGTTACTAACGCCAACGGTGGGGGGTAATATTTTAGTTAATTGGAGAAGAAAAACGACCCCCATGCATCTTCAATAGACGTTATGATGTTAGTGTATATAATTACCATAGAAAGTGAGGATCTTTACCCCCGGGAAGACTCAGGCTGTGACACACTTACGTCTCCTACTCCGCCAAAGTCCAGTTACGGGTCAGTCACTTCCCTGTGCCAGCGTTTGTACCCAACTTATCGGGTATTATATATATATTTATGGGTACTGTAGTATAGTGGCTACCTTTTCAACTCCCATTCGGGGGATCTCAGGTTCGATCCTTGGGCAGGACAGGAATGGCCTTACACTCTCTCTCTTTCATCTGATGCCTCTGTTCACCTATAAGTAGAAAGGTACCCGCGAGATAGGCAACTGCAGTGGGAAGGTCCTGGGGACCTACATCCTGGGGATGGTCAATAGTTAGATCTTAGCGGACCTCGATTTAAGCCTAAAAATGTATATTTACTCAGGCTTCCTGTCACTGACAATGGGAATTATTATTATTATTATTATTATTATTATTATTATTATTATTATTATTATTATTATTATTATTATTATTATTATTATTATTATTATTATTATTATTAATTCTTATTATGGATTATTACCGCCCAACCACGACAAATTTAATGGTAGAAAAATTTGATCAATTAAAATAATTATATTTTAATACAGTTCCTGAGTCTTTTTTAGCGATCTTTAGCTACAGTTTGTAGCTGAGAGACACCATGGATTTACAAGGGGAATACAATGTAAAATTAATTTTATGAAGTTATATAATGTCACCATAATAAAACAGGCATGCAAGAGAGAGAGAGAGAGAGAGAGAGAGAGTTGGGTAAATTTTCTACTAGACTGCTAAAAATATTTGATAATGTTCTTCACAAAACGCTAGTGCGTAAGACAGAGATAAACTGAGCAACAGGAAAGACACATAACTAGCTATGAGAGTACCTAATGAGCAAGAAACAGAGGGTCACAGTCAGTGAAGAGATGTTGGGCTGGATATATGTAGCAAGCAGCATTCCTGAAGGCTCTGTTCTGGGCTCGTTGCTATTTTAAATCCATGTTAACGACCTTTTGGAACAGGTGGGTTCGTGCATGGCAATGTTTGTGAATGATGTAGAACTTGCAAGGAGAGTACACACAAGAGGAGTACAGAGTGCTGTAGGAAAACCTTTACAAACTTCAAGACTGGGCAAGCAAATGGCTGCTAGACTTCAACCACAGTAGGTGTAAGATAATGAAGATGTTAACGGTTGAAAGGAGACTAGCAGATAGTTAATACGTGTAGATGCCTATCTTTAATGTATCAGAATAGGAGAACAACTTGCGAGTAGACATAATGCCAGCACGGACATATTGGAAACTGTCAAGGGTTGAAAAAGCCCAAAGGTTTGCAGCACGTTTTCTACCTGAATTAAGAGAGCCAAGTTCACTCACAGGTTAATGGAACATAACATTTTAACTTAAGGGGATATAATCTTTGTTTACAAACTATTAAAATGAATGTGTAGTCTTTTTCAAAATGAGGGTAAGTCTAAGAAAAGGACAAGGATACAAGCTAGAGGCGCAAATGAGCCGGAGAGCATTAAAAAACTGATACGGAGTGATGGAATGTCCTGAAAGAAGTAGTGGAAACCACCACAGCTTCAAGAGCAAATATGACCAACACAGTTGACCAGACCACACATTAGAAGGTGAAGGGACGACGACGTTTCGGTCCATCCTGAACCATTCTCAAGTCGACTTGAGAATGGTCCAGGACGAACCGAAACGTCGTCGTCCCTTCACCTTCTAGTGTGTGGTCTGGTCAACTTACTTTAACAACGTTATTGTGACTCGTCGCCTGCATATGACCAATCCAAAATGGCAAGATATTGAACCACACAGCAGGTACAAGCACCTTAGAGATAGCTCTCCGTCCCAGTATCAACATGCGGGTGAGTGCTGGTAGATACGTCCAGGCTGGGAGCCAAGAGAAGGCAAGGGGGTCGTCAGTGCGTTAGAAAACTGGGAATACCCCGTTGCCGCGAGGTGTGGCGGACAGCGCGGGGTGTGTGACCCGCTCCTAGAGTAACAGTACTCTCTACCCTGTCTCTCCCCACCCACCCTCGCACTCCATGTTTGAAGTATTTATTTATTTACTACTTCGTATTGACGTAATTTAGTTATATTGTCTCGACACCCCGGGGAAAGTATGGAACGAGTGTATTGGTAATGTAGACTTGACCATTAATCTTGTGAGTAATCGCATTGCTATAATACACAGTCGCTATTCTCGCCAAACACACACCGAAACCACGACGTTGGTACAACGTTCAAACAAATTTTAACACCTCCTAACCAGTTATAACCACCAATATAGCAAGTTGTAACAACGTTCTAATACGTCATAAACACGTTAAGCCAAGATGTAACAACTTTATTACAATTTGCAACAAGCGGAAAATAGAGGCAGTTTCGGTTTGTGTTTCCAGGGTCGAACACTTAACCGGTCTTCACGAAAGGTGGCCGCTGAAGTGGGTGTGTTGCTGGGGAGAACCTTGCCCATGGAGAAAACTGGTTTAGGGTTATGATCAGATCTCACGACCAGAGAGTAACCTTCCGTGTGAGAGAATGATTCAGCCACAACAGGTCTTGAAAATGTGGTCACGTTGAGTTCGATACACTCTCACAGTTCTCACACACAGTTCTCACACTCACACTCACAGTTCTCACACTCACTCTCACAGTTCTCACACTCACAGTTCTCACACTCACAGTTCTCACACTCACTCTCACAGTTCTCACACTCACACTCACAGTTCTCACACTCACACTCACAGTTCTCACACTCACTCACAGTTCTCACACTCACAGTTCTCACACTCACAGTTCTCACACTCACTCTCACAGTTCTCACACTCACAGTTCTCACACTCACAGTTCTCACACTCACAGTTCTCACACTCACAGTTCTCACACTCACACTCACAGTTCTCACTCTCACAGTTCTCACACTCACACTCACAGTTCTCACACTCACTCTCACAGTTCTCACACTCACTCTCACAGTTCTCACACTCACTCTCACAGTTCTCACACTCACACTCACAGTTCTCACTCTCACAGTTCTCACACTCACACTCACAGTTCTCACACTCACTCTCACAGTTCTCACACTCACTCTCACAGTTCTCACACTCACTCTCACAGTTCTCACACTCACACTCACAGTTCTCACACTCACAGTTCTCACACTCACAGTTCTCACACTCACAGTATAGGTTCATAATATACCTATTTTGTATAATATAGAGGATAGGTTTGTTTGATCTGCGACCTTCACAAAAATAAAGTAATTTCCATCTCTTTCTGGTTATTGTGTATATACATAGGGCGGTGTATTTCGCTTCTCGGTGTTTACATAGTGAGTTTACTTACAGTCTAGAGCTAAATTATACTTGCAGGGTGCTTAATAAGCTCTTATCGTGGTCTTAATAATCCTACCGCGGATGATAGGCCTTGTAAGTCTTAAACAAAACAGAAATCTCTTCTTCTTCCTCCTTCCAAGTATCTTACCGTGTAAGAGAAAACGGTGTAGGTTTTAGTCTTTGGGTTAAGACAGGAATATCAAGTATGTAACGCTACTTCCTTACATGCAAGAATCCTGTAAGCAGTCATCAAGCTAGTTGGGGCCTGACGGCTGAGTGGACAGCACTCTGGATTCGTAGTCCCAAGGTTCCGGGTTCGATCCCCGGTGGAGGCGGAAACATATGGGCAAAGTTTCTTTAACCCTGAAGTTCTCTTCTCCTAACAGTAAATAGGTACCTGGGAGTTGGATAGCTGCTACGGGTTGCTTTCCGGGGATGTGTAACAAACGGGAGACTTGGTCGAGGACCGGGCCGTGGGGACGCTAAGCCCCGAAATCATCTCAAGATAACCTCAAGAAGATAGTTTAAACCCACCTGCAAGAACCTTGTCAGCGGTCATCTAACTGGTCTAAGAACCATCTCTAAGGGCTTGTACTTTGTGTCTTTTGGATGTTAGGTAAAAATATGTTATTTCTCTGCCCTAAATTCTGGTGCTTATGTTGTTCAGTAAATATTAATATCTTGAACCAAGGGAAGTGGAAACTATAGGATAAAGGCGGTGCTACAATATAGTGTAAGTTTCTTTCATGTCAAGAATTAGAATG